CGAGGACTTCGTACGAACGTACTTCCCGGACGTTCCGCTCTCCAACGTCCTCAAGTTTGAGGGTCTCGCGAGGAGGAATAGCTTGCCGTACACAGGTGTCTATGGACTGGACCGTTGGATGGTATCCAAGATTGGACCACATGGAAGAAGTGCGCGAGGAGACGGCGTTATCACCACTTAAGACAAGCTATGGGTCATCCACACTCGCTACGCCCTTGTACGTAGCCTGGCGTGTGGGACGTGGAGCACTGAATTGTGCGTTCGATTCTCGCGAATGCACTCTTTTATCGCGCCCGCAACCTCCAGCGCGCACTAGTCAGCGGATGTATCCGCGTTGAACGGATGCATCCGCACAACGTGGCCCCAACCTAGCGGATGCATCTGCTTCACTGAGACTGCTCCGAGCAAAGAACGACACACGCCCGGCGACGGCATGAGCAAGGAGTGGCACAATCTGGAGATCCAACATGAGGTGGATCAAGTGGTGAGAGGAGACGTGGGTTACCATTGCCATTCATGGGTTCTCAGCTCTCGTTTCTTGGCTCCTCAACCCCCTTAGGGGAATGATCAAGCTCCCATTCCGCCTGCGCAACCATAACACCTGAGCTCGGAAAGCTTGACAGACGAGATCACTCACGTTAGCGATCTGCAATTTTACATTTACTGGCTAGATTCCTGCGAACCGCGAGGCGGAAACGTGCCACCACTTGAATCGGACCAAGTCGGAAAGGACCAGAAGTCAGGGGTGCGCGACTATGCCGACCAAGCACGTCGCACGGTCAGTGAACATCTCTCATGACAAACCTTTGACGTTCTGGTATAGATAAGCGCATCGCGAAACGAGTGCTGAATCCCTGTCAATAAATCGCGTGAGTTCTGAATAACCCGCGAGAGCGTACATCCTGCATAGCCGTACCTCAAGACGGGCAATCCCTGTCTGATAGTAGAGTAGGTATTCCCCGGAACGAGGACAGTGCGGTAGTAGGTGCTGAATTCTTCAAACCAAGGCTGTGGAAGTGGAGTCCGTCAGTGCACAACATTGACCGTGATGGCAGGAGCCTATCATTGAGATTACGCCCAAGACAACCTACGATAGACTACCTCCGTAAATGAATACGCATCAGAGTCGATCTACTAAACGCAGACGAAGATGCATGCTATGTATACAATCCATCTTGCCCCATATCACGCTTAGTGCACGAGGGGGGAGTCGGACACTGATCGCGATATGATAAGAGTAGACAGGTTAATGGCGATCCCACTGTAGGTAGGCGGCGTGTGCAAGTGAAGCTTGCGAGTGGTATATGTGAGTTCTGCACAAGAGATTTAAAAACGCAGCAAGCACTTGTACACTGTCCAGGAATATGACACTTTGCCAATGTGTGCTACGACTTGAGGACCCAACTCCGCCGCTGCTCGGCTCTTCACTGACTCCACGAGAAGGTGCCCGAAGGCTCCCGGAAACATCGATGTACATTCCAGATGTACCCTCTCTTAAGTGCTTGCTCCTCCTGCCACACATCTATGGTGGTGTCGAGGGACGCGGAGTCATGCCATCATCTTGTTCGTCATCGGCGATGGTAGATTCGCTGTGGGCGATGGCGGATTCGTTGTCGGCGATGGCGGATTCGTCGCCATCCCAATCTTGAAAAAAGAGGGCGGACTGATTCTCCATGGCGGAGGTGGCGAACGACGCCTAAGCGTGGGGCGCGTCTATATCTGTGTCGGATGCTGACGCCACGATAACCCCAGGTTCGGGACGCCAATAGAACCCGGTCTCGCTCACCACCGACACTGGAGAGGAGCGTATCAGTTCTGTCTGATACATCGCGCATAACCTAACGTACGCAAGTCCAAAGCGTGTGCGCATCTCGACATGGCCCCTCGTAGAGACCTATTGGCACGCCATATCCATTGTTTTACAATTGGCAGAACGCCTCTCAGGTCAGCCGGGATGTGCCCACTGCTCAAGTCTCGGTGATGTGGGCGAAGTGCAAACGAGCCGTCGCGAGCTCCACCTCGCACGTTCTGAATCCGACCTCCGCGACATGCGCGAGCCGCGTGCGGCTGATTCGCGAGTAGACTTGCGTGAATGTTGTTGGGACCCGGCCTGTAGCATGCTCCTCAGGGATTTGTTGTGAAGATACTGGTACAGTTCTTGGAAGGCGGCATCGGAATCGGTGTTAGGAGAGGTTGCAAGGAACCAA